TATGATAGAATAAGACAAAAGAAACCAATGAGAGCAAGGTAGGCAAGGAAACAAAAACAAACAATCAAAAGACAAAAGAAAAGGTTAGTTGAAAATAAAGCGTTCATTAATCCCGTTGGGACTAAGAGTGCCCAATAGGTGAATAAGCCGCATTTCTTTGGTCTTGCGACAATTTTGCGAATATTTTGTAGTACATATTAACACATATTATATCAGAAAACCAGGCCATTTTAGATTAAACTGTTTCGTTAAGAGCAAATTTTGTTGAATTTTCTATTGGATTTGGCGATTCTATCCCCCACATAAACAAGCAGTGACGTCATAGTGAAATAGGGCAATAGACCCCTCGTTTCATGGTCACGCCTTAGTCCTCCAAATTAAAAGATGCCAGGCATTCCGGATCCTGGTCTTTTTTTATCACTGTAAGAAGTCTATACCAGTCAGAAGACTTTGAATACTCCCCCCTTTGCATGATCATGTCGAATTCATTAATTGAACAGACAAAGTCATTTTTTGCCCTTTTTTCAAGAGAAAGCGGATATGAAACGAGTAACTTACATTTGGACATGTTTCTGGCTGCCTGACCATGTGCCGACGTAATGTACCAAAAACAGTGAAAATCTCCATGTCGTTCTGTAGAATTGAAACAACAAAAACGTTTCTCAGTTGCTATATTTTTTTTGAGAAGACATTAAATGAGTAACTTACACAATTTGGACATGTTTCTGTTTGCACCAGGTGTCCACGCAATGTATAGCCAGCCCGTTGAAGGTGCTCCATGATTTATATAGATTCTAAACGAGAGAGCTAGGATGGTACAACAACATTCAGTACCTAGTATTTACATGCAGGGATTCATCAGTGTTTGAAGATTATCAGAATCTAATTAAGTAACCTCAGTACTCCTACTCTCGATTAACTGAATTAAATTTGACTTGCCAGTGAGGAGAGAATAGGCTAGTAATGATATCAACAACAAAAGATTAAGCATCGTTGTTAAAATTTAAGAAAGGAGCCATGCCACTGCATTTTTGTAGTTTGTAATAAGAAGTTTAAGCATGCAAGAACCCTTGTAGTTTAGATATATACGAATACGTATACGAACAAGATATTAACGTTACCACTTCTAACTTCTATAATATCATAACATGCATTTACCGAGAGCTTTGGCTACTAAGATTGTGACAACCTCATCAAAAGACCCACCCTTTATGTCTCCATTGTTAAAATTGCTGCTGAAAGGAACAAGTTTAGAAGAAAGGGAATGTAATCCGAATCTAACAGTTTACAGCCAAGGATCACTCAGCTAATTGTGGAGAACCAGGTGAACAGGATGCGTGCGAAGAAAAGCAAACATGGCAAGGGAAGTAAGGAATGGTGGTAACTAGTGAATAAGCTGACAGAAAGAATGGGATCTGAAGTGTGTTTATCATTTCGCTTAGATGTTAATGGCATGAACAAACATTTTCAATCTATAAACACTGTTGCTGATTACAAAGAAACTACGTATACTTTCATTGACATCCCAGATGGTTGCAGTCCTCCTACTCTTGATGAAGCTGATGTATTCTCTGCATTGTCTAAGACCAAACGAACAGTCTCAAGTCCTGATGGGTCGCCCTATTGGTTTTGGAAGGAATACTTGCCAGAACTAGCACCATGCAATGCAATGATTACCCATGTTTTCAAACCTCTCCATTGCTAAACAACAAGTTCCAAGTGTCTGGAAGCATGCTAACATCCGTCCAATGCCAATGGTAGAAAATGTAACAACACTTGATCAACTACGACCATTATCATGATTACTGATTACTGACGTTATCATAAGACAACTGTTAGTAAAATGCCTTAAACAGCCTATTCATGATTTTTTAAATAAGTATCAGTATGCATATAAACTAAGTAATTCTAAGTAATTCTAAGCAATTCTAAGTAATTCTATATGTTATATGTTAAGTGTATGAAAAAGCTCTACTTCATAACCAACACATGTGATTTACGTTGTTTGATGGTCAATACAATTTTGTTAGGGTACTGTCATTTGATTTTTTTAAAGCCTTTGATAGAGTACTACACAAAGTTGTAATTGAATAGTTTAAATTAGTTCCAAATATTAGTCCGCATCTGCTTAATTGGACAATCAATTTTCTTGTTGATAGGAAGCAAAGGGTTATTGTGGATAATTTAATTACACCATTTATGCCGATTAACCGTGGCGTTCCCCAAGGGACAGTGCTCGGGCCAATACTCTTCTCCGTCATGGTGAACGACATAAGTCCTGCTCTAGAGAAATCTGTTATGATTAACTACGCTGATGATATCACTTGTAGTATTACTATAGGAAATACTAGTAATCTAGAAAACTCCAGTCTTGAGGCGGAACAATATCAAAGAATGGGCTGATTTTGATAGTATGAAACTTATTTTAGATATGTCTAAGCAAATGATTATAAGAAGTAAGACTAACAAGACCCCCTGAACCATTAAGGGAATTAGATCAAGTGATATGTTTGAGATTACTGGGGGTATTTTGTACTTAGCAAAACGATTTTTTGCATCATGCTAATATCTATTTTCCCTGGAATGTTCTTAACATTTGCCTCCATTCCTTTCCTTATGAGTCCTATGGCGCCTATTACTACTGGGATATTAATCACTCTTAATTCCCACATTCCTTTTCTTATGAGTCCTTGGGCACCTGTTACTACTGGGATATTAATCACTCTTAATCCCCACATTCCTTTTCTTATGAGTCCTTGG